TGCTTCCGATGGCAACGACACTCGAAACATGGCTATTCAAAACAACTTTGCTCACACGATCTTTCGACAGATGGATTTGAAATTCAATCAGGTGTTGATGACGCAGCAGACTAATCAGTACCATCAAGATGCTTATCTCAAGACCCTTCTCAACTTCTCCCAAGAAGAAGGCAAGACTAAACTGGCTGCACAAGGTTCGGTCGGGCCGTCTTCCATCACCGTCTTTCATCAAGTCTGAAGTCACAGAGATGTTGGACAAACCGCAAGACTATGAACAATCTAATTGTAGTTACCAATCTTTCTTATGCTGTCAAAATCAATAAACCATATGTTGTCAATCAATCAAATGACTCCGCCTCTATTTTTTCTCATAAAACTTGAGACCCCTTTCCCTCGTCACTCATTTCTCATCATGATCACCAGGCGAGACGTTGACTCAGCAGACCTTACTACTGAAACAACAAGAATGGACTCTCGAGTGAAAAGACAGGCTGCCTTTCTCAAGTCTGTCCTGAGAGAAGCCGACGATCACAAACGCAAAGAAAAATTTCGAATGGCTAATGGCGATCAAATCAATGCCGTGAGTGAATTGGCCCTCAACGTCATGAAAGGTATCGTACCCGTCTCTAACCAAGCCAAGGCAAGGTTAAGACCTTACGCCAACACCCTTCGCCAATTGAGTCGACGAAGAGCAGGTATAAAAGCCAGACGACAACTGTTGATGAAACAGAAAGGAGGTGCGGTCTTCAGAGAGCTTTCCAATTGCGTTCGATACTGCGTATAACATGGGTGAACCACTGACAAATACTGAAGTGAACAATTCAACAGAGTTTTTACGTTTGCAAGACCAATACAAGGGTGAGATTGTAGAAGATAAACGTCTTACCAAAGCAGCTGAACTGGCTGCCAAACAACACATGATCTTGAAAAATAATCAAGACGATGGTATGAAAGAGGCTCGATCGAGCGGTGTCCATAGTCAGTTTCAAAAATGGACGCAAGGTGTGCATCAACCTTTTGGACCATCGGGTGGAAGCGGTACTGGTGGAACGGTGCTAGATGAGGATGACTTTGAAGCGGGTCCCGTGCAGGCTCTGGTCAAACAGTTGATCAAAACTATAAAAAGCCAACCAAACAAGAACCGACTCAGTCTATGACACCCGCCAACAGACCCAACAGAAAAAGAAGACTACCGACACCTGTGGTCACACCCACTCCCAGACGACCCAAGAAACCCGAGACACCACTCTCAGGCTTCAATCCATTGAACACTTTTGACGAAGACGACGACGAACCACCTGAGAAATTTATAGAAAGAAGTTATCAAAGGTTGTTTCCAGATAAACAAGGAGGCTTTTCATCCACGTCTGTTAAAAGCAGGGTCACGCAACAAGCAAAGACAGCCTTGAAGCGAAAGGGTAAACAGGCAGTCACCAAAAAAGGAAAACAGTTATTGGGACGGTGGTTAGAGTACAAGTAAGATGCCTCGAACCACACGCAAGTTGAGAAGTGATTCGTTGAGACAACAGAGAGGTGGTCGATTGGACGTGCAAAAGGCTTTGTCCAAAACAGGCATCGAGTTCCATTCGCCAGGGTACCAGTACATGGGCCCAGGCACGAGGCTCAAAAAACGGTTGGCAAGAGGAGATCCGGGCATCAATCGGTTGGACAGGATAGCCAAACAGCATGACATTGACTACAGTAAAGCCAAGTCTCTGAAGGACAAGTGGAAAGCAGATCAAAAGATGATTGCCAAGATCAATCGGTTGCCAGGCAAAAAGACAAGAACTGAAAACATTGTGAAAGGAATCATGCAAACAAAATTAAAACTTAAGGCGTAATGTCTTGTTTTATTAAAATTTATTCTTTCTTTCACTAAAAACGTGTCTTTTGTTTCTGCGCATGCGCGGTGTCGAACCAGGGACAGAAACGCCGTCCCACATGGCTCCCCTTAACTCTCGGGATAAATTGACAACGTTTTGGATCATTTTTACCAAAATTCAATTCTGCGCATGCGTGGTGTTCAAAATGGGACAGCAATGTCATCCCACAAGGCAACCAGAAACTCTTTGGCTAAATGGACAACGTTTTGGATCGTTTTTTACCAAAATTCATTTCTGCGCATGCGTGGTGTTCAATGAAAGGGACAGAAATGCCATCCCACATGGCAACCAGAAACTCTTGGGATAAATAGGCAAACATGCGTCATGCGCATGCGTCGTGTGCAAAAGGGGACAGAAATGTCATCCCACATGGGTACCCTCAACTCATGGAGTAAATAGGGAACGTTTTTACCAAACTTCGTGAGCATGCGTTCTGTGAAAGGGACACAAATGTCATCCCACATGGACTTCTTCCTCTTTTGGGATATACAGTCTTCTTACATAAGGACGGTGCAATACTTGTTGCATCTTCATGGTGCAATTTTTATTTCATCATGATGGTGCAATCGTTCTCGATAAAAAGAGCGGGTTAAATCATTTTTCATTCGAGCTTTGCTTGTAAAGATGAAACGTTCCTGGGAAGACACTTTGGACTCTGATGATGAAGATCTCTTTAACCAAGTCATGGACGACTTTGAAGGCACACAAAAGGGAGGAGGTTCGCGCCAACCTTTGTTTGCCTTTACTTTGGCAAGCATTGGCCCGAGAAGACGATGGAAAAATGTAGTAGAAAGAGCTCAGTTTAGAGGAGACCTCCGTCAATTAAGAGAACCCGTGACTGGGGATGACATTGGCCTAGCGTTAACCGAGGCCTTACACACAGCCATAGGAAGAGAACTGCGACGAGAGGTCAGACATCCCAATGATTTTGTGAATTTCAGCATTACCGCTCATGGTTTCACTCATGCTTATCAAAGCATCAATTTTCAAGTGGGTGAATTTTTGGCTAGATCCGTACTAGTCCATGGGCCAATCGTGATTTTGGTACCAACTCGAGGGACAAAGGATGATTGCTGCAAATTGATAGCACATAAGGTGGAGATTGAAAATTTGTATGACAACCTTTCTGTAGGAGTAGCTTTCAGGGTATTTTTTTCGTGTAAAAGTGCCGGAAATGACCTTTGAGATACCAACCAGGCCAACTAAATGTGCACTTAATATGTTCTATATGTTTTGTAGTTTAATTTATTATGAGAGACATGAGAAGTGTTTTTGTTAAGTTTTTTATCGCTAAAATATTTATTGTTCTAAATTTAACCAAAGTAAAGCAAGGAAAACTCAAAAGTAGCCCTCGAATAGCATTATGGGTAAAATCCAAAATGACGGCTACCATGGAAGGTGAGTGGGTTCTTGATTTGCCGTATTAATAGCCATTTTACCGTGTAAAACGCAATAATTTCACGAAAAAGTCAGCAAAATCATCTAGTTAATAAGGCGCTTAAACTTTTTGAGGCAAAAGTCTTTGAAGTTTTGACTTAATAAGCAGAATTTAGGAAATACTTACAGATCTTGTAGAATGTTCACTTCGATAATCCGATAGAAATTGAATGCATAATTTTTGCTCATGTCGATCATACACATCTTTTTATACGTATGGTTGACGGAAGAAAACAAGTAACTACATAAGTATCCCTACAAGCCTGTTTCGTGGTTGCCCACTCATCAGGGGATTTTAATGAGAATAACTTTACCATTACTTATATACTAGACTGATTTACATAATTTATTCAGTGCGAGGTTCGTTACATCAGTTGTTGCGCAAGAGGGCTTTGTTTCTGTGGCGGCAGGAAGACACGAGTTCATTACGTTTGTTAAGTGTAGAGAGTTCAGGTCGGCAGATGATAAGGAATTTTTCTTTAAGACATAAGTTGCATCGTTTGCTTGAGCTGTTGTACGGCAGGTGTGAAGATAGAATGCGTCAGGCGATAGAGTAGTTGATGTTGTTTTCTTTAAGAGTCCAGACGTGTTTGCTGAGTTCAGTGGAGTTTCTGTTCTTTGCGTGACGGAATGATGACATGTGGTTGCTGTATCTTGTTTTGAAGTCGTTCGCAGTAAGCCCGATGTACGTTTCTGTCGTGTTGGTGTCTTTCCGTGTGACAGTAGCTTGGTAGATGACAGCAGGCTGAAGGCAGTTCCCGTTGAGCGGGCATGAGTTCTTTTGTCGGCAGTTGCATTTCTTGTTGTTGTTGTTGATGATGGTGGGGGCGGAGTCGGCGGCAGCGGTGGTAGCATTAGTCTTAGCATGGGCAGTCAAGATTCGTTTGTTGTGGTTGTCGATGATTTGTTTTGCGTTGTTCATGCAGCTGTAACTGATCTTGATGGGTTTCTGTTAAAGATTTTTCGTAGCTTGTGGTCCTTGGGGAAGTGCTTGTCTATTAAGGCGAGGAATTTACGTCCAATGTTGGTACTGGTGTTCTTGCTAAAGGGTGGGTTGTACCATAGAATGTTATTGCGTTGTCGGTTTTTCGGTTTGCGTGTATGGGTGGGTTCGTAGTGAAGCGTGCAGCTGTATCCACTGTCGTCGAGTGCTTTCATCTTTTTATATATTTATAAATTTATCTTTTTATATATTTATAAATTTTGAAATATAATCTAATTTTAGGAATCAACCTGTTGCAGTCAACATTATTTGAATTATCGGTTATTCGGTAATGAAAATTCCAAATGATATGCCATTTTTAATGCATACATGCATATGGTTTCTTTAAACACGCTAAAATCATCAGTCTAAAAAAGATAAGTGAAGTAAAAAGGATATAAAGACTACACATACCTGAATGGCTTACATGATTACCGTGTGCCGGGAATCAGAAAACTAGAGAGCTAACAGGTTTATTTCCATTTTGAGTTGACTTAGCGATGTTATTCTTCGTATGTTTTTTGTGGTAACTCATTCCAAATCGTGGCACCGCTATGGCGAAAAAAAAAAAACCTTTTGGAAGTCCAGAGTTTCGTAAATTATAATATAACATATGTGCTGTTATGTCCCCGTCTCAGTTGCAGTTGCAGTTACATTGCAACTTAAGCGCTGAAAAAAATATTCATCTGATACAAATAGGGTCCTCATCTAAGAGAAGTGTTGATGATGCTGAGGAGTCAAATGCCGCAGTCAAACGATTCTGCAAGAAGAAGTGTATCATTCACTGCACCGACGATAGCAGTGATTTAGTTAATCCTAAAGACGAGGAGTCGTGGAAAACCTTGCTACGAGCAGCAGAGATTCGAAATCATCAAGAAATCCTAGAACTTTCGAAGTCTTTAAGCGAAGGAGAAGTCCCGTTCATTTACTACCATCGAAAGTGTCGAAGCATTTTTACAATGAAAAAGTTATTAGATAAATTATCCCAGCAATCATCCAATAGCCAGACTCAACCGGAAAAGGTGGCTAGGAGAGTCTCTATTCGAGGATCTTCCAATATTTCCACAACATACGAGCGCATTTGTATTTTTTGTGAAAAGCCAAAATATTTCAAGGGTACAAGGAATCGTGAGCCTTTAGTACAATGCCGAGATATGCGTGCAGATAGCTCTATCAGAAAGATAGCTACAGAAAAGAATGACAGCAAGATTCTTGCCCTTGTGTCGCGCGAATTAGTTGCAGCAGAGGCTTGTTATCACAGGACATGCTACAGGAGTTACACTAGACCAGAAGCAAGCAGCATTGTGAACCCTGATATGAGCAGCGAATCTCCGGATGATGAATATGCCCGTCTAGAGTCTGATGCTTACCAGATGCTCTTTGACTTCATCAGGTCAGATGTAATAGAAAAGGAGAAAGTCGTAAGGCTGTCTGAGATGACGCAGTTACTTGTACAGTATCTAATGTCATTAGAAGCTAAGGAATGTAAGCCATCAACAAAGAAGCATATCAAAAGGAACATAGAAGCAGAATTCAATGAGTTGATCAAGTTTGAAAACTTGCTAGACAACAACCGTGTATTCCTAATCCCTGCTAGCCTAACACCAGTGCAAATCGCTAGAAATGTACTAAATATCCTTATGGCAGAAAAAGAAGACAAAGGCTCAACAACAAAGATCTCAAATATTCAGAAAGCTGCAGCTGACATCCGCGATGCCATTCGAAACGAAGAAAGCAAAATGTCATGGCCACCGCGCCCCTCAGAGCTCAATGACAGCGCCATAGAGGTCCCTGAAGAGCTAAGTGCGTTTTTGTATACCTTGCTAACTGGCAACAAAGATTCGCCAGGGGGAGAATGTTGTCAAAGAGTCCAGCGGTTGATGAAGTCGTTCGCGCAAGACCTAGTATTCGGAGTAACCAGAGGGAGGATTAAGCCGCCTAAACAAATTCTTCTCTCGTATGCTGTAAAAACTCTCACAAACAATGTTGAGCTAGTGTCTATACTAAACCGTTATGGTCAGGGTATTTCTTATTCCCAGCTTGAGGAAATTAACACTGCTCTTTGTATGCAGAAAATGGCAACAACAACAAGTGAAATTCCTCTACCTGCCAATATACAACCTCATGTTAGTACCACATTAGCATGGGATAATATTGACCGACTCGAAGAGACTCTTTCAGGTGAAGGCACTTCACACCGTGTAAACGGCATAGCAGTACAGGCGAGACATTTTGGCCCCCATCCCCTCACTGAGCAGCCACCTGGGATCACTAAAAGTAAGCAAAGGAGTGTTGGACCACTTGATGCTGTTGCTCTACCCATTTACAATGCAGGTGAACGTCAAGGCCCTAAGCCAAGGGCATATGTTGAAGTAAACGACCAGGAAGCGTTAGAAAATGCCCGAAGAAAAACCCTTTTGTGGGTTTTAGTGCGCCTACATGCACAGATGAACCAGAAAGTTAGTGGATGGACTGGCTATAACATTTTGGTGCGCAACGAAATTGAGGCTCGTCAAGACAATATCGGATACCTCCCCACCATTGATGCACCTGCCACTAGCATGTCAACTGTTCATGAGATTTTGGTCCGCTCCCAGAAGATCAGAGAAGCTCTTGAACTGAAGAGCATAGTACACGTATTTGATCAAGCTCTGTATGCCAAGGCAACAGAGATAGCTTGGAAACATCCAGACAAGTTTTCAGATATTGTTATTCGGATGGGTGTCTTCCATACAGTGTGCACACTTCTTTCCATAATCGGAAAGAGATTCCAAGACGCTGGTTTAAGGGACGTTTGCATTGAATCAGGGGTAATTGCTGAAGGTTCTGTTACAGGAGTTCTTGAAGGACGTAGATACAACCGTGCTGTCAGGTTTCATAACTGATGTATGAAGCACTCCAAAGACTTATCTGGAAGGATTTCAGACGTGTGTAGAAGTAAAGTTCCCCGAGAAGAAACAGTTTATCCAAGATTTCTTTGCCGGATTGAAACCTTTATACGACAACCTGTGCCAAAAGGAACAACAGAGGGTATTGGATAGTCAAAGTTTCCCTGAGTTTATCACACTGTACGATATGTACCTTGACTATCTACGCAATAACAACGGGAAACTATCTAGTTTCTGGATGTCATACATTGATCTCGTTGACATTCTGCTGAATATGGTGAGAGCATCAAGAGAAGGATATTGGGAGCTACATTTATCAGCCATTGAACAAATGATACCATGGTGCTTTGCCTATGATAACGTAAATTATGCCCGCTATTTACCTGCATACCTGTCTGAGATGACCCACCTCGAAGAGACCCATCCTGAGGCTCATGAATTTCTTAAGTCTGGTGGATTCTCGGTCCAGATCGGCCACCAAAACCCCTTTGGTAGGGTTCCAGTTGATCAAACATGCGAGGAGACGGTCAATAAGGACACCCAGACAGCCGGGGGCACCAAAGGCTTCAGTCTTAAAGCAGGAGCAGTTAGCAAGTATTATATAGTGTCTGAATTTCGCAGTATTTTTTTGAAGCAGCTGAGGGACATGCTAAATCTAAGCAAATCCAATTCTGGGCATACTGATCTTCAAAAAACAAGAATTGTTAGAGACGAGGCTGACGTGAAGTCGCTGATTGCTATGCTAGAAAGCAACTGGATAAACCCATTCAGTGCTGAACAGCAGGATCTGGTATGCTTGTCAACCGGAAAGGTTGCCACCCAAAAGATAGAGGAAGACTTGTTGGGCGCAAAAGCTGTTGGGGAAAAGGCATACAAAGAATTTCGTGCACAGCGCTTGGAGGCAAATCCACCAGTCAAATTTCACGAGACCCTGAAGAAATCAAAGCTGGAGACATTCTCTGATCTTAACAAGAAGGTGAAATTCAAGAGCAAAACAGCAAACGAGGTCATCCTAAAAGCTGATAGAGCTCTTTTTGGTCAAATGGTTATAATTGCAGAAAACAGACAACTTCACATGAGAGATGTCCTCTGTCATCCGTTGGGACCTCTTCCTTGGGCACTATCCACAGTAGATGGGTCACTACGGAAAACCAGCAAAGCAGCACTAGCAAAGGAGCTGCAAAAGAATGTACCTGCTGCGGAGGAAATTCCTCAGCCATCTGCATGCATCATAGATGGCATGGTACTAGTGCAAAGGTTGAAAGGTGACCATAAGAAGTTTTCAGATGTTGCTGACTCCTTGTTTGGAATGGTTCTACATGAGGGTGCGTCCTCGAAGAGAATTGACGTTATCTTCGATGTGTATAGAGATAATTCAATTAAGAATACGGAAAGAGAGCATCGAGGAGCTGAGTATGGAGATGAAGATCAGATTACAACACATTGATTGTGGCATCAGAAGATACAGATGTCTTCATTCTTTGTGTGTCATTCAAGCACTTAATTCCGTCGTCAATATTTTTTAAGTGTGGAACACAAACAAGAGTTAGATACATCAGCATTACGAGTATAGTGCAAGCCCTTGGTCAAAATTTGAGCAGCAGTCTCCTTGGCATGCACGCTTATACTGGTTGCGACACCGTGAGTGCTTTTGCTGGGCGGGGTAAGATTGGTGCACTTCGAATCGTTAAAGAACAGAGATCCTTTCAGGAAATGTTTGACCTCTTAGGAGTGGAATGGGAACTCTCAGATGATCTATTTCAGATGCTTCAGAATTTCACCTGTCGTATGTACAGTTCCCGCCCAGGAACAAACAGCATCAATGAGCTAAGATATAGATTGTTCTGTTCAAAGAGAGGTAACATCGAGTCCGACCAACTACCACCTTGTGCTGATTGCCTGTGTAAACATGCGTGTCGAGCAAACTATCAAACAGGGATCTGGAGGCGAAGTCTTGAGAACTGCCCTGAAATTCCAAGTCCCTTAAGACATGGCTGGATTCAGGATGAGAACAAGTTAGGGATTGATTGGATGAGTGGTCAGCCAGCTCCTGCAACAGTTTTAGAGCTACTCTCTTGTTCTTGCACAAGATCTTGTAGGCTCCCGAACTGCAGCTGCCTCGCAAATGGTCTTAAGTGCAAAGACATGTGCCGGCTATCCGAGTGTGATAACAGGCGAGAAGAACAAGCTGTCACAGTAGACGTCGATGCCGATGATGACGAGAGTGACGAGGACTAGAATATGTGGTATGATTCTGTTTCTCAGCATATTTCCCTTGGCTGTCGACATGATATATTGCCCACAGAAGAATACAGTCATTGCTAGTCGCTGCTACATTTAAACATATGACTTGCTAAATGTGCACCCAAAATACATAAAACCAAATGATCACTGTAAGAGGAATTATAACGTTTTGCATGTTACCCTCGGACGTCCAAAAACTATGGCTTTGCAGAAAAACCCCAATTAATACTTTTGCCGGAAGAGTTTGCAACTATGGATTTTTAGTTTATAGTTTTGAGAGCAGCTTCAATCACAACTTGAATTATGAGGATTTTGCATGTTCCTTCTAGTTTTGAACGTTTTGGGGCACTTCAGGGGACAAAATTGGTATGTTTGAAAATGAAAGATGGCGGATCCAATATGGCCGCCAAAAAGGTAATGTCATAGTATAGCGGCCTCATAGGTAGTTACAACACCTGAGTCAAACTAGTATCCAGTTGTCATCTAGAACTATCATTTAACAGTTTTTTCAAACAATTCATCGTTATTACTTTAGTTAATATCGACCCTCTGGTTCAAAGGGCTACTTTTTCATGTTACCATGGCAACAAACACCAGAATTCGTCTAATTTTGCTACAAAAGCCTCGAAAATCACTTGCAAAACAGTGGTACCATTCAATCATCTAAACGTGTCCCCCAAAAATGTGTAAAAACATAAGGAAAAACGTATGTATGTACATTTATTTGACATTGTAGAAAGCCGAGTGACGTCATTTCATCACGTGATAAACCCTATAAAACTACTCATTTGACGTGGTTATCATACATTAAAATAAACTAGAGGAGTCATAGTTTTTAAAAATATAAGCCACTCTTTGTCCCTCTTTTTGGTACCAAATCATCAAATTTGAGGTCCTGCCCCTTGGACTATACGCCTTAACGAACTGTTGCAACAGCTAGCTGGTAAGCTGAACAGCAACGAATCCTTTGACTACCAGCAAGGATTTCAAGTGGATGTGGTTTTTGTCAAACGTCCACGACCAGGCAGTGGCAGAGGAAAAAAGAGAAATGTCGGAAGAAAGTGTATGGACAATGAAAACAAGAAAAAAAGATGTATCATTGCCATCCAAAACGATGAAGATCTCTGCTGTGGGCGTGCTATCGTGACCATGAGAGAGCACTGCAATAAAGAGGACTCCAATGATGCTTTTCACAATTTTCATAACATGCGACGGGGTAGAGTTATTCAAGAACACGCGGCCATCGAACTGCACAGACTGGCTGGCGTGGATAGGGGACCCTGTGGCTTGGAAGAATTGGAGAAATTTCAACAGTATTTACAGCCTACCTATCAATTGCTGGTGATGTGTCGCACCAAACCATTTTTTCTGATTTTCAAGGGACCGCCTGCCCCCAAGCAAATCAAACTCATTAAGTCTCACACCCATTACGATGGTTGTACTTCCTTCCCAGCTTTCGTGAACAAGTCCTATTGGTGTACCTTATGCGAAAAGGGGTTTGATCATGATGATGCTAAACATCACCCTTGTGAAGGCCGTTCCTGTCACTCTTGTAACAGAAAGGATTGCCCAGACTACGACCGCACCAATCGTAACCTGCCCATCATTTGCAATTTTTGTCATTGTCGATTTTATGGCAATAACTGTTTTGATTATCACCGCCAAAAGAATCTTTGTCAAAAACACAGAACATGTCTTAAGTGTCATGGGGAATACAATGAGGTGAAAGGAAAAAGACATACCTGCGGATTTGCTGCCTCCCCCAGTTGTAAAGAGATGGTCGACATTCATATTCACAAGTGTTTTATTCAGCCTCATGTAGGGGAGCCTGAAGAGGAAAAAGTGGATGATGACGATAGTCAAGGCAAGAAAAAAACCCTCCCTCCCCCGCTGTTCGTCTATGCTGACATCGAGGCCATGCAGCTACCCGACAGGCAGTTTGAGCCTAACATGCTTTGTTATCGCACCCATGAAAGTGTCAATATTGTGACCCACAAAGGCAAAGACTGTGTAAACACGTTTTTACACGATTTGGATGATGCCACAGAGATTCCCGATGACGACCGTGAAAGAACCATCATTACCATTTTCCATAACCTGAAAGGATTCGATGGCATGTTCATCATTGATGAAATGTATCAACAGCAAAGAAGCATTGAAAATCAATTGACCGTGGGCAGCAAAGTTTTGTCCTTTGAAAGTGGACCCCTGATTTTCAAGGACTCTCTCTGTTTTCTGCCGATGCCGTTGGCCTCGTTTCCAGCCGCCTTCAATGTAACGGAACTGAAAAAAGGTTTCTCTCCTCATGAGTTCAATTTACCCCAGCACCAGTCCTATGTGGGCCAAATTCCTGCCCTTGAATTTTTCGACCCAGATGGCATGAGTGAGAAAAAGAAAAAAGAATTGGAAGAATGGCATGAGGAGCAAGTGAGGCGTGGATTGCAATATGACTTTGTTAAAGAAATGGAGGAATATTGTAAATCGGACGTGGTGTTGTTACAAGCAGGGTATGAAGCTTTCACCAAAGAATTTGAACGTCACGCTGACTTCAACCCCTTTGCTAAATGTGTGACCATCGCCAGTGCCTGTAATCTCTATTGGCGGAAACACTGCCTTCAAGAAAACACCATCGCTGTGGAACCTCTCAAAGGATGGCGCGGGGCCAATGTGAATCAATCTGTCAAGGCCTTACAGTGGCTGTATTTCAAAGAACAAGGTCTTGCCAAGCCGGATGCCAGTCCAGACAGAATAAGACATGTCAGAAACGGGGGTGAGCAGAGTGTGACGTGCGTGGAGGGCCGCTACTTCGTGGACGGATATGATCCCCAATCCAATACGGTGTACGAGTTTCATGGCTGTTTTTGGCACGGGTGTCCTCGCTGCCATCCCGGAAATCGCCACGCAAGACATGCCGCCAATCCAGACCGAACGATGGAGGAGTTATGACGCGCCACTTTGGCCAAGGAAGCTGCTCTCCGTTTGGGCGGTTACACCCTCGAAGTGATGTGGGAATGCGACTGGGATATCCTGTGCGAACACGATCCCGCCGTCAAACGATTTGTGACCGATTTTTCTTTGGTGGAACCCCTGCAACCGCGACATGCGTTTTTTGGAGGAAGAACCGGGGCCGTGGCTCTTCACGCGGTGGCCTCGGAAGGGGAAGAAATACGCTATGTAGACGTGACCTCCCTTTACCCGTGGGTCAACAAGAATGCCCGTTACGCCATCGGACATCCCACCATTTTGACCCAACCTAGAGATCACGACATTGCCAACTACTTTGGCATTGCCCTCGTGGATATTCTCGCCCCCGCCAATCTGTTTCACCCGGTACTTCCAGTGCGAAGTGGCAACAAGTTGACCTTTCCCCTTTGTACGGCCTGTGTCAAGAGGGAACAAGCCAATCCCATGCTGTTGCGGACCGACAGTTGCTGCCACACCCCCGAGGAACGGATGCTCCGTGGAACTTGGTGTACCCCAGAGATTGAAAAGGCAGTGGAAAAAGGTTACAGAGTGGTACAAATACATGAAGTTTGGCATTTCCCCCCTCATCAGCAGCAGGAAGGTCTCTTTAGGGAATATGTCAACACGTGGCTGAAATTGAAACAGGAGGTAGCTGGTTGGCCACGTTGGTGTGATACCGAAGCCAAAAAACAACAGTACCTAACCCAGTACAAAGAAAAAGAAGCTATTGACCTGGACTATGGAAGCATTCAGAAAAATCCAGGGCGAAAGGCCACCGCCAAGCTGATGCTCAACTCCGTCTGGGGAAAATTCGGGGAACGTCAAAACAAGCCCAGGACCATGACCATCACGTCCCCTTTACAGTTGTTTCCACTCTTGTTTCACACCCACACAAATCTGTCCACTCTTCGCATTTGTACAGACGATGTTTTGGAAGCTGTCAATACAGAATTAGATGAAAATGTCGTTCCCAGCAACAAAACGAACGTTTTCATCGCGGCATTTGTGACAGCCTGGGCGCGGTTACGTCTGTACGAAGCCTTGGACGTGCTGCAAGAACAAGTTCTCTATTACGACACGGACTCTGTCATCTACCGATGGAAAGCGGGACAGCCCTCTATTCCCATTGGCGACTTTTTAGGAGAGATGACAGACGAACTGGAAGGAGATGTGATTATAGAATTCGTATTGGGCGGGGCCAAGAACTATGGTTACATTACCAGGAGCGGTAAAACCGAATGTAAAGTTCGCGGCTTTACCTTAAACGTCAGAGGCAAAGAAGTGTTAAATTTTATCACCATGAAAGCGAACATTTTAGCGGAAATCGAGGATCCCCAGGAAGAGAGGCGTGTCATTCGGGTTAACAACCCAAATCATTTCAAACGTGACACGACCTACAAGACCATCAAATTGGTCAACCAGGCCAAACAATATGGACTCGTTTTTGACAAACGTGTGATAGATCCGGAAACAAAAATCAGTTATCCTTTTGGATACAGAGTATGGTCAGAGTGCGATCAAGAAAATGTGGACATTTTATTAGATTTGTAAATAAAAAAATTTTGTTCTTGACAGGATTCGAACCTGTGAGCCGAGTTCACCCGCCTGATCAGACTCTGCTCCAACCAAGCAAGAACTTTCTAGCCAGTACCGGCGATGGCCACCGAACCACCGCTTTCCCGGCCATTTTTTTGATGACTTTTTAAACTTTTTAAAACGAAATGAGCGTGACGTCAATAGGAGGTCACACACGTCATGATTGTAACGCTAGGTATGACGTCAGAATAAAATTGGTTGAAACGTGACTTTTCGTGTGTCTTATATGACGGGGGAATGTTGGGAGACTTTTCGTGATGGTTTTACGTGTGGTACTAACCCCCATGAAATCCTGGACGCTGATTGGTCAATTTAGGTCACGTGGTCTAAATACTCGATTCTGATTGGTCGTGCCGCCCAGTAGCGACTATTACTACTTAAGTTCATTCTCATATCTTTTAAGATCACTCAAACGAGAATCATTCTTTTTTCTTGGATGAAGATAGCGAAGTACAGACCAAATAAAACATTTATCATCACTATTGCGAATACTTACAATAGCCTTTTTTCTCATAATCCAATCTGGAAGAGGAATATATGATCCTCCTTTCATTGGTTTATATTCATCAGTATGTATCTCAAGGCTGGTAACTTCTTTAAAATACCACCCACTACCATTTTGTTGATATACTTCTATCTTTTCAAGTATTGTCTTAATTACTTCAAAAAGTATTTTATCTACATCACTTGATTCAAGATTAATATGTGTATCTGATTGAAAATATGCTTTAGACTGAATTGTAAGAGATTTCTTTGATAATTTTTCCATTTTTTCCATAAGGCAAACTAAAACAAATCTAACTTTAATATTTGGATGATTTCTAAGAAATTCTTTTAAATAGGTAGATTTAGAATTTAAAAATTCAGAGGGTAAAATACCAGGTTTTCCTTCAATAACATATTTATTAGCAAATCCTTTAAGAGCTGATTTTTCTTTTTCTATTCCTTGAGTATATTCTCTGATTGTTCTTTCAAGTGCTTTACGAAGATAAGCTGGAGTATCAGTTGGAATTGTTTTATTTCGAATACACTCCTCAAAATAATCGTCAAATGTTTTAGGTTTTGGTTTGGGTTTGGGTTTGGGATTGGGTTTGGGATTATTAATCTGTTTTCTTGCTTTTTGTATTTTTTTTATATCGTCTATTAACTTTTGTTTTTTTATTAAATTATGATACTCTTTTTTGAGTTTTTGTTTATTATCTTTTTTTATTTTTTTAAATTCAGAAATGGAAAGATTTTCTAAATCAGAAGACATTCTAATATATTATTTATATTTCTTTAAATCTCAATTTTATTTTTTCTGACACATCTATACAGAGTAGTTATGAAATGATGCCTTCCCGATAACTTTTTTACCCCCTAAAAAATTTTGGCTCTCTGAACAATAGAGCGACTACTTTTGAACGATTGGAGTTGAACGAAACGGAATGAACGGAGTTGAGCGACAGCGAAACGAAGTGAATGGAGTGAAGTGAAACGAAATGAGTGAAAAAGAGGAGCGATATTGTGAAGTGAGTCAGAAATTATTTTAGGGGTAAAAAAGTGAGCGGGAGGGCATCATTTCATAACTACTCCTAAGCTGATGTGTTATATTGTGCTTAATTGAGCGGTATTCTGTTCAAGCTGTTCTGTTTAAGCTAAATCGCGACTTGTTGGGGGTAGCGAAATGGCTAAACGATCACCAGCTAACTCTGAATCTCGAGAAAACCAAATGTATGCTTGTAGGTACTAACAGGAAATTGGAAAGCAAAATGGCTCTAACAGTATCAATCTTCGACCACAATGTAAATAATGTCAACAGCTTCAAATACCTTGGAATTTTTATATCATCTGATTTTACATGGACAAAGCATGTTGAATACATTGCTGGCAAAATTAATCAAAGGCTTGGTCTCCTTAATCGCATTAAGCATTTATTACCCTTTAGTGCACGCCTTCTTTTTTATAATAGTCTTGTCATGCCTTTATTTGATTATGCAGACCTTGTTTGGGGAGACAAGCATAATGTAACCTTAATGACCAGTTTGCAAGTCTTGCAGAATAAGGCTGCTAAAATAATTTTAGACAGACCTCTTTATTCATCTGCTACGCATGCGCTTGCCACTCTTAAGTGGGTTCCATTAGAAAAAAGGCGTTTTCAGAGAAGATGTATTTATGTGTATAAGTGTTTAAATGGACTTCTTGAGCATGATATGAACTTCATAAGACGGCAAGAACAATATAATTATAATACCAGAACTAAGCTGAATCTCAGACTTCCAAGTGTCAAGAGGAATTGGGGCATGCAACGGACTGCATTTCATGCCATCAAGGATTTTAACTCCCTTAGCCAGGCAATCAGACAATCCGTGAATCTGAGCATTTTTAAACGTAATCTTTTTAAATTTGTAATTTAAATGAATTTGAGTTAATATCTTGTACATTTTAATAGTTTTTACATATTTTAGATTTTTAATGTCTTTGTGAATTGTGTATTTTTTATTTTTATAATTATTTTTAATTTTATGAGATCCTTTTTGAAAACCATATTTTATATGAAAAAGTCGTCTCAATAAAGATTATTATTATTTATGAAAGTTAATTTATTTTAGGTTCAAATTCAAGGTGTACTCTTAAGTATAGTGAGGTTAATTAACATAAATTTAAAAGTAGGCCACTTCCAGCAATTGCACAGCTGTTTTGGCCAGACAACTCTCAATCGTACGAGAGTATAACGAATATTCTTTAAATATTATTTTCAACTTCGTAACGTTTTGCAGCTGCACTGTAGTAATTGTTTTGAATAAAATAACAATAGTAGTGGATATTCATTCTTCGGGTTAAAACTGGTGAAAAAAATGGCTTAGCTATGTTCTTTCGATTCTCAGTGTCAACGCTCTCATTAAAATGATTCTTATGAAACAAGAATGTAAGAAGCCTGGGTGGCACACAACAATCTCAATCTCCAATCTCCTGCGAAGATCATTACTCATCTTGAAGCATTGGTCCCGCACGAACTTAAGCGATCAGTACTGACGAACTATCGTATTCCGCCAGAGCTGTGAGCCGTAGCAAACAAGGTGTCCAGGGTGCCAAGTAATTCGAATCCTTTCTGGTGAAAGTTAATTTCAACTTCAAGCTTGTTACGCAACTTCATTAAAAGCTGATCAACTCTCTCAGACTGACCAACAACTGGTGCATATATATCTGAAAAAAAAAAGTTCTTGTTATTGTAGTATGAAAGCGCCCAGATAAATCTTCATTCATAAATTCTGTGGCCAGCGTCACAAATCAATGTGCTCTTTGTAACAAACAAAATACTAATTTATGTCAGTAAAGCTAACCCACCCGCACAGAAATAATAGTGTTTTATTGTAGAAGCATGTAATTACATAACAGTCTGTTCCAACAGCCCCAACTTGATAGTCCAACATCATTTTAATGCTCTGCAGGCTATGAATGTCAAAGGTTTCTACAGGAGGGCGTATTTACCCTCATAACTCAGGGCTGTCAAAATGATTTTAAAAGTAGCAGGCTGATAATGAATCAGGGGCACCCAACGGCAATTTTCGGGAAAATACCTGTTCGGAAGACGATTTGAGAACTAGAATTTTTGCAACATTTGTTGTAAAATTTCTTGCTTGCCTGTCTCTCCTAGGATTTTCGAACATCTACAAAATGGTATAATTACCCATTTTAAACGGATATTTACCCTAAAAAAGGCCACCTAGAATTTTCGAGAGCCTTTTCCTGGCTGAAATTTTTGACAAGGTAAGTTTTGATCCCTATAATTGTCGGATCACTAGACTTTCAGCTAGGAAATCCGAACAGATGAAAAGTTTTTAGGGGATAAAAATATGCCTATATCTACCGTTTAAATACTAAAATGTGTTCAACAATGCTATGTTAAGTGGTTTTGAACTTTATCCTCGTTGGGTGCCCCTGATGAATAGTAGGCGGCTTTGGAACTCGCACCGTAGGTACAAGTTCTTGAGAGCCGAAGCATGTAGGGACATTTAGAAATTAAGAGTCTCGGAAATGGCATTTCTCGGGGTTTTCAAGAGGTATTTTCCACTACGGACGACATGTTATTTCATCAGAATACTCGCAAGACTGGGAACAATGCCGTCTAAATGTCCCAGCCGTTCCTCGACATCGCGCGGTTCGAACGGTTCACAGATCTAAACCTGTTTAGATATGCGTTTAATGACATTCAAAACTGGCAAACTGATGCTTTAAAATTTTAGTCGATGGTGCTTATGTTTAGTCAGCAGTTATGGTAGAAGGAGATGAAAGTAGCCGGCCAAGGATGGCTAACTAGCCGACGGTTTTGACCGGCTACCGGCCCTTAATGACTGCCCTTTAACTTTAGTCTGTTTTTCTTTTTTTTACTTTGAATGTGAAAAATCTACTGCGAGCTCTCAGAAATTAAAAGCAATTCACAAAATGAAACCAAGAGTTGTGGCTATGCTCTCTCCTCTACAGATTTCCGTTCTGCGAAATGACTGTCCGCGCATAAGCCGAAGACCAAATGCCTACCACTTCACTCAGTGGATTCTCCTGAAACGAAAGCCCGATTTAAGTGACAGTGATAGCGATGGCTTATTTACCGACATGATTCTTAACAGTATTTGACCAATGCCGTTCCCAGAGGCTATGATTGTTTTGGTCAGTACCATCACAGGTAACCCGGGCTTTGTCATAGTACCACAGCACGGTTCCAGTAAAATTACAGTGTTTGTATGGGGTAAAAATACCATCCTACAATTTCTAGGAAATACTAAATAAAGATCAGTGAAACTTACTCTGCAGTTAATTGTTGTTGTCCTTATTGCTCAAACGAAGTTTAGTGATAATTTGCAGTAATTTGTTCAAATTCACTCTTTATGCAATAATAATATACAAGGTAGGAAACACGAGATGCCATTTTCGCCGACATGCTCTCATTAAACACAACTTTTTCCACGAAATTCGAA